GAAGAAGTAAGAACAGTAACTATGCCTTCTGATTTCCAGTTTTCATCCCTTCACCAAACAAATTAGCCATAATATTTCCTACTTTTTAACTTCTCCCAATGTCCTAGGAAGTGCTAAATAAATACTAAAATTATACATAAAAGAAAAAAATTTAACTGTTTCCTAAATTTTAACTACTTTTCAACTATGAAAATTATGAAGCATCCAACTTTTAAATAATTTCAAGTGTATAAAATATCAACTAAATGTTGTAAGACAAATTTATTTTAGTTTTTATTTAGTTTTATTTTCTTAACAAAATATAGTTTTTATTCTTTTTAAAGATTTTATTTATTTATTTGACAGAGAGAGAGAGAGCACAAGCAGGGGGAGCAGCAGAGGGAGAGGGAGAAGCAGGCTCCCCGCTGAGCAGGGAGCCTGATGTGGGGCTCGATCCCAGGGCCTGGGATCATGACCTGAGCCAAAGGCAGACACTTAACCAACCAGGCCACCCAGGTGTCCCGAAAATTTAGTTTTTACATGGTTATTTCACCCACCCTCCTCTAGATCCCACCTTAGATTCCTTAACCCAGCGGTTCACATCCCTCCTCCAACCCAAGGCCTCTCTGTAAAATAAATATTCTGTAACATCCCCTTTACTCCTTTGAAAATGAATCCAGAGGTAAAATGTCCTAACTATATATATATAGTTATATGCTAAGAGAAATAAGTTAGAGAAAGACAAATACTATATAATTTCACTCATGTGGAACTTAAGAAACAAAACAAATGAGCAAAGGAGAAATAAAGAGAGAGAGAGAGAATATTATATATGAGAATATAATATATATTATATATATAAGGAATATTATATTATTATTATATTTTTATTTTATTTTATTTTATTATTATTATATATAATATATATATAACTTTTAAGATATATATATTCCTTACTGTATAATAATAGGGAAGTAAGTAATTTATAAAAAATAGAACATATTTAAATAAGTAAATGCTCAGCCACAACATCATAATAAAGGAGTTAGGTGCTTGCAGCTACATGAATGTAGTCAATCTGCCACCAGGTAGCTAGCTGGTTTCCACCTTTGTCCTCCATTCAATAAACATGTCAGAACAGTATATTCAAATGAACGATTACGTCGCTTCTAAGAACCTTACATGTGCACTGAGCGGTATGCCTCTTGGTGGTAGAGCTACAGAGGACAACCGCCATTAAGCTATTAAAGGCCAGTGGTGTTTCCCTCCCGAAGATCTTCTTAGATGCCCTGCTGCCTCACTACTGGCCTGCACGAGAAGTACTGGTATCACTTGGAAGCTTGTGAAAATACAGATTATCAAGTCCTACTTCAGAAGTACAGAATTCAAATCTATATTTTAACAAGGTCACCACATTATATGAGTGTAAATTAAAGGCTGGGAAGCCACTGGGCATTCCTGAGGGACATAACAAAGGGTAAGCAAACTGCACATAATTTTTTAAAAATGGTGATTTCAAAATTCATTCTGAAATAAAAAACATATTTGAAAACTTCTAACAATATTTTGCATCTAAATTGATGATAAACATATGCCATTGTTATGAATAAACTAATTAGGTAAATATTCATTAACTCAAAGCCAAGATCTAGGGCCAATTGATATTCATTCACTCAATAAATATAAAGCGTCCAAAACCTGTGAGGGAAGAAAAAAGTCATAAAACAGGTCAAAGCTCCTGTAGTTAAAGATTAAACCAAAACTCCTTAAAAGAAGAAAATGTAAAATACTTTTGTATCTGTCAAACACAATTCTAAGATCTATAGAGATTTAAATTAATTGAGCCAAAGCTTCTCTTTTTGAGGGCACCAGTTTCTGAATGATACTGAGGAAACAAATTACTAATAATACTTTAAGCCGAAGTTATATTCCTTATCAGTAGCTCCATTTCACTGTCTAGCTCAAACTGCTAGAAGATCCATTCTGGTAAGGAAGGAGAGCGATGCGGAGAGAAAAAGAGAAATAGAGAGAGACAGGGGACCCAGAGAAAAAAAGGAAGGAAAGAGGGAGGGAGAGCCCGGGAGAGGGACAGGGAGAAAGCAGAACAAGAAAACAGGCCTAAAATATGGAAAGAGCCCAGATGTCCATCCATAGATGAATGGATAAAGAAGATGTGGTATATCTACAAGAAAACAGGCTTAACTGAAATGATTTAAACAGTAACAAAAAATGGGGCAAAGAAAGCAGACCTATCAACAGAACAAGAGAACTAACTACTCTCTAGGGTAGGAGTTGGCCAACATTTTCTGCAAAGGGTCAGAGAGTAAATATTTTAGGCTATGAGAGCCATATAGTCCCAACCCTGGAGTTGTAGCTGAAAATAGCCAGGAAACACTAAGTAAATGAATAGTATGGGGTGTTCCAGGAAATCTTTATTTACAAAACACAGGAGGCAAGCCAGATGTGGCCTGGAGGCACAGTTTGCTGACCCCATGCTCTAGGAGAAAGAATTCCGTGGGTTCATAGATGCACACATGACAAATTGCTACAGAATCTACATTTAAAAATAATAAACACTCTGTTTTTGCTTATGATAAGGGGAATTGAATTATTCTTGAAGAGAAAGTATTTTTCAAATAAAAGCTTTTACAAATTATAACCAATTCCATTTTCTAGGCATAACTACTAAATCTAAAACACTCTTCTTTCCTGACTAGAGTAATTCTTTTTTTTTTTTTTTTTTTATTTGAGACAGAGAGAACGAGAGAGAGAGAGCACACATGAGAGGGGGGAGGGTCAGAGGCAGAAGCAGGCTCCCTGCCGAGCAGGGAGCCTGATGCGGGACTCGATCCCGGGACTCCAGGATCATGACCTGAGCCGAAGACAGTCGCTTAACCAACTGAGCCACCCAGGTGCCCACTAGAGTAATTCTTATACACAAAAGGAGCTACTGGTTTGACTTATATGAGCTTCAGAAAGGAAGGATATACTTACAGAATACTTTGAGTCATTAAGGTACACACTTACTAGTAATGGCAGCCAAAGTCACCAGGTAAAAGAGAAGGGGAAAAAAAAAAAAAGAACTACTATATCTTGCTTCCCCACAATGGATCAGATTCTACTGTTCATCCAGGCTAATCCTTTGTCAACAGAAGAGTTGAGAGATAATACTGAAAGAGATATATTTGTTCTCATCACCGCTGTCTTCAAAGATTAGAGAGATGAATCTAGCTTCCTTACAAAGATGAATTAATCATTCATAAACTTGTTGGATTTATTTTTAACATCCACAACTTCCTGATGAAATGCATCCCCAAACTTCATAATCTATTACATGATCCAGTGTTTTAGTATTTCCTTTTATTCTTCCTAAACCATCTTTCTAAACTCCAAAGGAAACTATCTCATGTATCTATCTAGTTTTTGCAGAATGCATCTATGTTCCCATTATCCATTTTACTTAGTCATTCATTCATTGAAAATCCTACCTCCACTGGTTATCATCTATTTTTTCACCCAAATTCATATACCGTGACCACTGTGGTTGCCATTTTACAGGCTTTATTGATTTCTAAAGTCCTCCCCACTCACACTGCCTCATCATTTACCAGTCCCTACACAGCACTGTCTCCTTACCATATTTGTAATACTCTGCCTGAGTGCTTTCTCTGGCCACAAGAACATGCTTGGCCAGTGAGTTCCAAAGAGTTAACACCCTCCGGAACAACCCCAGACCAATAACAAAGGAGAGATAGGGATAAATACCCCAATCTCCTTGCCCATTAGGTAGGATAACTCTGAGGCCATTGTACCCTGTCTCCCAGAAGTCTCAGTAAAATTGAGACACATTGGCCAAAAGAGGTAACCTGCTCTTGAATATGCCTACTATTGTGTTTTTCTCTCTTAACTGGATCATTACTCACTCCCCTATAGGTGGTGCCTGGGACCGCCCTCCAAATAAACTATTTTGTCTGCTTAAGGTGGACCTCAATCGAAGATGGTCCTCTAAACTTAAAATTCTTGGGTTCCTGAGATTTTACACTGAGACATGTATTTCAGCCATGAAACCACCACTGTTTTGCCCAAAGATAGGATTACATTGTTTAACTTTTGCTAGTTTTCAAAAGAACTGGTGAAGTCATCATTTTATTATTCTCCTAAGACATAGCAATACATCGGGGTGACACTTTAGGCATTGTATAAAGTGACTTCCAATTATCTTACCTGTGATAAATGAATGCTCAGAACCCACCATCCTATTAGTATAATTTTAGGTTTGATTTTCCACAAATGCATGACTTTGGACTTATTCACACAGAAATTTATTGGCCACTTCTGGGTGACAGAAATAGTATAAAACAGATTTTTTTTTAATTTGCAATTCAAATAGGAATGTGGTATAGAAAAATAATCTTCCCATGAAAATGTTTCATTCTCCCCTTCCAAAGGCAGGAAACATAGAACCATAAATACTATTTGTAAAAGTCTAACATTTTTAACACAAAGAAGCCCATAGAATTGATCCCAAATAGTAGTAACAGAGTTAGCCCACAGATAACAGCAAACTCGTGAAATCCTTTCATCGGGATCTACCTGCCTGGAAAACTACCTCATCCTTCAGGCCAAGGTGGAACTTTTAGAGACCTCAGTAACTTTTCCCATTCTCTTACCTCCCACTTCTGGCTAGTTCCTTCAATGCAACCTCTCTAAAATGTCTTAAAAGCATCTCTTCTTCATTCCCATGGCTCTTATCCCAGTCTGTCTTTCCTATGCCAATAGCCTTCTATCTAAATCCCCTGTTTTATTTCATTTCTTCATTCTGGAAAATCAGAATAAACCTAAGATTGTTCAAACTTCTAAAAGCTCAAGTCCTGAACATCACTTCCGGCATTTATATATAACACATGGACATTGACATTACATTTAGACAACTTGTTGCCTAAACATTTCATATATTTTTATTTCTGTTTGGAATGAAGGTTAAAAATAATGTTTACCTAAAGATTAAACAAAATGTTTACCTGTCTGAAGCTATGTCACTGGCAATTTGGTGCTTCACTCCTGACCCATTTTTAATAGAATCCTGTCTTGTGAGCCCATGAGAGCGACTTTTCTCCACTGCAGGTACAGATAAGTCACCTGAGGGTCCTTGGAACTGGGCCTGCTCATGCACTTTTGCTTTCTTCTCCTGAGGCGCCTCCTCATTCCGCAGTCCTTGGAGAGCCTTCTGATCAGGTTGCTGTGGTGTATTAGATCCACTATTATAAAACCATGCTCCTGATTTAGTGAGGATTTCTTGTTGTTTTCGGCACAAATTACATACCCACATAACCTGCACACGAAGACATAGGGAAGAAAAATTAGTGTCTCCAAAAGTTAAACACAAATCAAAAGAGAAGGCAGTTCAAACCAACAACAAAAAATCCTATGGTTATCCTTTCTGAAGTTAAAATACAATCCCAATTAACTGCTACCATTTATTATAGCACGTATCTTTTAATTTTGTCACCATAATTATAATAAAACAGGCAATGTTAACCAACAGCAGAAATACCAAACTAGAGTCCCAAATTACTGGTTGTTTATATGTATTCTTTAATTACTTTTTATTTAAATTAGGAGCATGGTGTAGTATAGGGAAAATGGATTTTGAGGCTAGACAGACTTAGGTTAAAACACCAACTCCAAGATTAGAAACTGTGCAACCTTGAACAAGGTGCTGAACCTTCATATCTATAAAACAGTTTCCTTAGTGATAAAATAGGGAAACTGGGATGATAGTACTATTTTTTCCTATATTGTTTTGAGAACTAAAGATTGGAAATAACTTATATAAAATGTCCAGCACAATGCTTGCTATATTTAGACTTCTAGTAGATGACCTACTAATAATTAGGTTAATCTTCTATCACCAATTAATTATATTATAAGCTTCTTGAAGGGGTATTTATTTCTTTTAAGTAGCTCTTAATGGCTAAAATAAAGCTAGGAACACTGTTGATCCTCAATATAAACCTATTAATTGCTCATAATTTATAAAGAATACTTGTTTTTTTTCCTTTTTGTGGTAAAAAAATTTACCACTTTAACCATTTTTAAGTACACAGTTTGATGGTGCTAAGTATATTCACAGAGCAGTGAAACATATCTTCAAAACTTGTTCATTTTGCAAAACTCAAACTATACTCCTTAAACAGCAAATCCCCTTTCTGCCCACCCCCCACCCCTGGTAGCCACCATTCTACACTTGATTTTTTAATAGATATGTTTTTCAGACTCCAGGAATCTAAGAGTATTTTAACTACTATCTTTGTGACCACAAAACCTTCACCTTCTTCTAAGAAATCTTTTTTCAATTAATCAGAAAAAATAAAATTATATATTCATGAAATAAAAGGTGAGTTCATATTTCGAGTGTTTTCTGACGTTTATGTCAAATACTGAAACTTACACAGCTCTCAAGATTGCCAAACACTTCTTTATAGTTTAAATAAGTTATAATAATAATAGATAGATAATCGCAGTAAAAGGAAGATTCATTATGATGTTTTCAACGGATACAAAGATTTTTTGTAAAATGCCATTTAAAATTTTTGCTTAATTGGCCTCATTCTCCTTCATAATGTTTGTATAATCCATATCGTACTATATTGCACTTAATCATTTTTATTATTTTGTTATCTCTTTGAACTGTATATACATTTCTTTTGCCCCCCCAACTAAATTCAAAGCTCATTGGGGACAGGGTTTACATCGTCTATTTGCATAAAGGGACATTATCAATCACAGGACAGTAAGACCTTTAAATGCTTACTAACTTGAATTCTTTTGAAATCCTTCTTGGGGAAAGATGATAAGATATTGGATACTATTACACTAAGATTTATGTTTCACTGATTTCTAAAAGAATTAGTCATCAATAATGTCAATATATGTGCCTATTTTATTTTTATAAGTAAATAAGAAAGTATTTCTGATATGAAAATACCAAAAATCACCCATATTAAAAAAAAAATACCTCATGGTACAAATTTCTTTTGGTTTGAATACTCATGAAATACATCCAACTCTCAAAAATGAAGTTTCACCCAAAATCTTCAGCCTTTTGATGCCATCTTGTGACAAATATTGGTACTGCAGATTTCTCTTAAATGTGAAAGGTAAACTAAATATAGAACCACAAAATAATGTTTATAAAATAAAGTTTGAATTTCAACCTTTCTGTCTTATTTTAAACAGATTACTATTCATGTTATAGTGATAATATAAGCTATATGATTTCATGATATGAATCCATTTAGAATAAGTCAGAGTACTGAAAAATAATACCCTTTGTGCCTGGTAACTGACAATAAAACAGAAGTGAGTTGGTGAGACAGACAAGCATCCAATCACAATCATCTGCAGAAACAACCTACTGCTGCTTCATTATTTGCGACAAAGTAAGCAAGTTACTTAAGTTCTTCTGGAGCAGAGATTCTCAGAGACTATCCCTGGGACAATGGCATCCATATCACCTGGGAACTTGTTAGAAGTGCAGATTCTCGGGGCGCCTGGGTGGCTCAGTCGTTAGGCGTCTGCCTTCGGCTCAGGTCATGATCCCAGGGTCCTAGGATCAAGCCCACATTGGGCTCCCTGCTCAGCAAGAAGCCTGCTTCTCCCTCTCCCTCTGCAGCTCCCCCTGCTTGTGTTCCCTCTCTCTCTGTCAAGAGGATAGATAAAATCTTTTTTTTTTTTTTTTAAAGTGCAAATTCTCAGGCCCCATTCCAGACCTACTGAATCAGAATTTCTGGGGCAGGACCCAGAAATCTGTGACTTTTTGGCCAAATGCTATAGGTGATTCTGATGCCGGGTAAAGTTAGAGAACCACTGGTTGAAGCAGAGATTCCCAACTTGATATGAGGAATGGGTTACATGTATGCTCCTCAGTGACTACAGAGGGCTGTGCGTAGCCTCACCCATTTACCTCAGCGTGAACTAGTCATCGTACAAATGGTAACAGTAACATTTCTGTGTAGCCCAAAATGAGAACAAGACTTGGAAGAACGATGCGCTTCATTTTCCTCACCTGTTAACACCCAGGGGCTACTAATATAAGATAAATGAGTAGAAGGCTTGAAGGATGCTGTATGATTCCTGTTAACGACTCTCTCAGTATTCTCTCCCCATACTCTCCGGGATACCCACGTTGGCTGCTTACTTTTCTGACTAGACTCTATGCTCCCCCCTGAACTGCCAGCTCTTAGGATCCTCATATCCTAACACCCAATTCACTTTCCTTTTCTTCTTTTACTATCTCTGCTCATTCCTGGATTAAAAGCTTGTTCATCTTTAAAGCTCAGGAAACAAATCCACTCACTTGAAGTAGTACAGAGACTGACGCTTCCACTCAAAGTCCCTCACACACACAGCAATGTAACTTCTGAACTGAGGATACTGAACTCCGTCTCACAAACACATACGCACGTGTACGTAGGAGAGGACTTTTAACTAACTGGTTATGAAATTATTAATGTCTATCAGAGGTAAGGTATGTGTCTATGAAACAAAATTAAACTGATTTGGGAACAAAATCACAGGGCTTTTGTTAATGAAACCCTTTAACCAGTTAAGTTAATCGGCAAGTGTATCATACGATGAATGCTGTTAAAAAATATCTTAGTAATACATATGCTTGTAAATAGCCATGGTTAGGGCCTATTAACTTTGCTGATCTTCATAAATATCGAAAACACCAAGGCCCTGAGAATACAAAGGCATATAGGATTCAAAATTATAAGGTATTATTACCTTCATTTCTAAATATGCCAAATTTTTCAGAGTATTATAGCAATATTAAGAGATGGAATACTCTCTAATGACCCAAATTTGCCACTTATTATCATATGTTCTGTTCTACAAACAACCTTGGTGGGTTTGAAAGGGAGGGAAAAAAAACTAAGAAAAATAGAAATATTTCTTAAAAATTACATAAATAATAAACGCAAGCGCTAAGCCGAACAGCCAAAGAGAAACAAAATTATGTCAAGTGCATACAATAATTTAAAAGAATTTAAAGCCCTGCAAAAATGTAATTTTCATTTAAATAGGGATAATAAATAATAGAGTAATTCAGGGAAGCAAAGGATTATTGGTTAGACCATAGACCAATTTCATAAGATCCAGCGAACTCTGCACACATAAAAGAATTTACTAGACTCCACTTCTCATCATTGCAGCCTGCTTATAAATGTGTATATTAGTCAGAGAATATAAATTGATCAGCTTAATCTGTCATATGACTAGAAAACTGAAAGATCCTGGCTAACTATTAAATTTATTTTCTTTTTCCCCTAGGATGCTGCATTTCTCAATCTCCCTTGTACTTAGGGATGGCCATGGCCATATGACTATGTCCTGGTTATTTGATTATAAGTACAATGATGTGTGCCATTAAAAAATTCTCATATATGGGGCACCCGGGTGGCTCAGTCAGTTAAGTGTGTGCCTTCAGCTCAGGTCATGATCCCAGGGTCCTGGGATCGAGCCCCACATCAGGCTCCCCGCTCAGCAAGGAGCCTGCTTCTCCCTCTCCTTCTGCCTGCCCCTCCCCCTGCTTGTACCCTCTCTCTCTCTGTCAAATAAATAAACAAAATCTTTTTAAAAAAAATACCTCTCATATACTACCATCACGCTCTTCATTCAAGACCTAGGAGATAAAGGAGCTACCAAAAAAGGAGCCCAGAGCAAAAATGAACTATTGGGACTTCATCAAGATAAAAAGCTTTTGCACAGCAAAAGAAACAGTCAACAAAATCAAATGACAACCGACAGAATGGGAGAAGATATTTGCAAATGACCTATCAGATAAAGGGCTAGTATCTGAAATCTATAAAGAACTTACCAAACTCAACACCCAAAGAACAAATAATCCAATCAAGGAATGGGCAGAAGACATGAACACACATTTTTCCAAAGACGACATCCAAATGGCCAACAGACACACGAAAAAGTGCTCAACATCGCTCAGCATCAGGGAAATCCAAATCAAAACCTCAATGAGATACCACCTCACACCA